AGATTTAAGTGTAATATTTTCAGATTAATGAATAAATTTTACACTTCATTCTGCAAAATTTACAAATCAAGTATAAATTTTACAGATAAAAGTGTACATTTTACAGATTAAAGTGTATATTTCTCAGAATAAAGTGTAGAAATTAGAAAATAAAAATGTCAAAATGGCACTAATACGTACTTAAACACCCTCGCGGAGAAAGGTTAACTCATGTTTAGACTGACATTTACATGTAAGCATTTCCATTGTTTTTTACTGTTCCACGATGCCCACAAATTAGGTACATTTTAAGGAATGTGAATGTTTTATGTTTTATAATTATACACATACAGGAATTCTTTTGAGATTTGAATATCCCCAGTATTAATTATTTTATCAAAAAATAATTTCTTGTAAGCCGATTTGGAGAGAATCGTAAGAGCTATGGTATGGCTAATTGTAATTAAGAGTTTAATTTTCTCTTTTGCAAAATGAATTCTCTCTCTCTGTGTCTCTCTCTCTCTCTCTCTCTCTCTCTCTCTCTCTCTCTCTCTCTGTAAACCATAAGTAAGCACAAAATGGGTATTAAATCCTAAACACAATTTTTATGAAAATTAAAATTCATGCACATCTCTCTCTGTGTCTGACGCTTAGGAAGCCAAATATGCACGTAAATCTCGCCTTTGTGTTTGACGTCAGTGGGCGAGGACTATTGAAATTGGCATGGGACACCTTGTGTAATTTAAATATATTTCTACATTTTTAAAATCCTAATCTACAATTTTATTGCACAATTAAATGGAAATATCAGGAATTACTGCCTGGTTAGTATAGTATGCCAGGGACATGAACAATAGTGGGAAACATGGCATAATTTATGCATAGCGGGCTTCGGGCTAGACAATGATTCCTTATATACATTTGATGTAGTTTAGTCACATTAATGAATTTTATTTACTACATTTATAGATAGAAGTTTCGATTTGTGAAAAATGCTGGTGATATAACCACTTTTGAGATTTTCTCTTAACAGATAAGCGTGCCCCCAAGTGTTATACAGTGACATATTTACCGATGAGATGTCAATGGATAACATTATTCCTAAGATGCATATTTCAGTAAAATAGGGTGTTATTCTTTCGACAAGTGTAAATCCCTGCAACGATAGCAGTATTCAGATAAAAAATATTTTTATCGCAGCGTTCGAAGCATTTTCTCGACCTCTATGCATTATATCGAAAACATTTTTGCTGTACATGAATGCATCGCATTACATTCCATTTACATTGTACAAAACATGCATTCAAAAAATGATTTACCACTAAGTATAATTCTACTTTTTGTTGGATTTAATCTTTTCCATCATGTATTTGTTCAGTTTATGTTGTACCTGAAAACTATGCTATCTGAAATGTGTTCATGTCGACAGCCAAGCTAGAAAATCATTGAAGTGTAACAAATGCACCAGAGTTTATACAATAGGCACAGAAAGCAAAGGAATATCATGTAGATATTATGGAACAGGTATGTAGTAAACCGTACAAAGATTTTGAAAAAATGCATACTTAAAAGTTCATGGCAGCTTTAAAGGAAATTCCTTTTGAAAAATCATCAGATTTTCTTCTTTTTAAAATTTCTTTCAATCAGATTGCTGTTTTGCACAATTAGATATTTATTTCATTTCACTTTAAATTCACTTTCCATCAAAGAAAGTACGACACATTGTGCCAAATATTTAGTTGCTTGAGGAGGAAAATACTCAGAAAAAAACACTTCCTCGGTATCAGTACACGTCATATGCTATTTACTTAACTGTATCGATATAGGAAAATTTGTTTTACTGAAATTAAAAATGATTTTATTATAAAAGCCATGTGTCATTATAACAGGATTTTTTTTGTCAACAGTATTTATTAAATTATTATAGCCATCATTGATCTCGATAGACATCAAAGTACTTTTTCAGACAGATTTATCACGTACGGTGTGTTTTTAAGTCTCTGTATGAAGATGATTTCACCTGACAAAATTCTACAAATTCATATTGAGAGAGAGAAAGAGAGAGAGAGAGAGAATTTATTTATCTTTTAATAAATAAAAAAATCATGTTTTACAGCTGATAATATTTCTTAGAATTCGACTTGACTGGCAGCATTGAAGGTAGTTTTAACTTTCTTTTAATATATTTGTTCGCACTGTCTGTTTAATTTAAATAAAAGAAATACCGTTACTCTGTTTAAGGAAAATCCTATTATTAAACATATTATGTTTAAACATTAAACATAAATTAGACATATCATATCATGTGAAGCAGCTTTAATGTAGCCTTTTTTCACTCTAGTTTACTGATTCTTTACCATTCATTAATAATGCAGTGTCTCGAATAGCCTTTGTTTCCCAGCTTCTCACGATGAAACTATGTGATGAAAAGTGGTCACATAAACTGTTATAAATTCAATAAAGATTCAATAATGAGAGAAAGTCAAGTTTAATATCATATGATATCTGTATTGTATGTCATACAGTCCAGGACATTATTTATTGAACAGCCTTCGTATACGGAGGTACAGAATAAATATCATTATACCTCATTATAAATATTCTAAACAACGCGTGATCTGATTGGTTCTAAGCTGTCACGTGATCGGGCCGTAAAACTTCATATTTCCTGGCCGTCGGCACGCTTTTCATCATATTCTACCTCTTCGAAACACCAAGTGTATTTTCCCGCAATATAGTTCCTGTTCGTTGAACGAAAACTCTCGAGAGAAGTAGACGTATCAATGGCCTGGTTTACGTCACAAAACTGATGATAATGTGTTGAACAAAGGGTTTTATAGTAACTTTACGTAAATAATGAAAATGAATTTGAGAGAGGTACCGAATTTGAAAGTTTATGTTTACTTCAAAGGTTTTGCTTGTTTCGGTATAATAAACAATTCACGAAGCCCTTGGGGAATATGATTTTTCTTGGCTGAATAAGTCTTCATATTTCCCTCACTATCATGCAATAAATGTATAATAAATAAGAAAACGTTTGGTCATAGGTATGGTGTTAGGGGCACTTGCATGTGATGGCCGGATGCTAGGGGTAGAGTGGTTGTTTTTTTTTAAGGATACCTTACATGTGAATTGAAATAACCCGTTATTTCCATGGATTTAAATGTTGAGCTTAATGTTTATATCGTCAAAAAGCTTCCGTGCATTGTCCTCGAGTAAAAGTACTTAGTAAGCTGTCAAATGTGAAAATCAGCGCTCGTCGCAAAAAAGTTTCAGTAAATGACTTGAGGCATAGTGCATGTAGTTTTTGTTTCCATGATGTTTCACTCAAATTGAGACGCAACCGCTTACCGTAAGAAGGCCACAAATCTCGACCTAAGCTCGGCATTTAGGGCTCTGTATATTGAGGACTTTTTTGGCAACAGCAGTGCAAGCACCTACTGTCACACGGGACTTCGGTCTATACATGTACCTTCTGAAAGAAAACTTAATGGATCCGTTTACACTTCCTGCTAAAGGTGACTTCAAGATCACATGACAACATTCCCACAATTGAAGTGGTTGACGTTTTAAAGCTGAGGCCATGAAATTCACAATTTAGAAAAAGACATCCTTGCTCATCAAACCTTTACATATATAAGAAAAAATACTGGCAAAATATTGTACCGTATAAGTGGAAATCTTAGCGAGATGCAAATTTAGCGATTTGTCATCAAAAATTGATATTTTATTTTTAGATGTTATTTTAGCGATTTAAAAAGCATAATAAAGAAGCTATAACAAATAAAGCGCAATTAATTTTTAGCGAAATTAAATTTTAGCGATCTTGGCACCCTTG